GAAACAAATAGGGCCAGAGGACACTATCAAAGGCCTTATTGAAGTCCAGGCTCAATAACAACACTTCTTTAGCGTGTAGGTTAGCATCCTGAATGACATTTAATGTGAGACGTATGTTGTCTGTGATAAGTCGGTCCGGGATAAATCCTGATTCTCTCAGGTGAGACCAAAGAGGAGATAATAGGGGCAAATCTATCTGCCAAAACACGGTTCAATATCTTAAAATTGTTGTTCATCACTGAAATGGGCCTATAGTTTTGAGGAAGATGATCTTTTAAGGGTTTAGGTAACTGGGACATGTTAGCCAAAAGCATCTCCACAGGAAACCTGCTGCCCTGCAAAATATCATTGAACAATGATGCCAAAAAAGGGGCAATCAGAGGAGCGAAACGCTTATAATAACTAGCCATGAACCCATCGGGGCCCAGTGCTGTGGAAGTTCAGTGTGCTAATCGCTCGGGTTATTTCCTCCAGAGTGCATGGGGCATTGAGGGAAGATATCTGAGAGGGTGAGAGAGCAGGGAGGGGTAAAGAATCAAGACACGAGCCTTCAAGGGGAGTGGAAGTCGTTTGCAGGGGAGCTAATAGGGTGAAGTAAAATTCTTAAATTCCCAGAACTTCATGAGGCAAAGAGGAGACGTTACTATTCTTAGTACGTAGCTTATAGATATGTGGGGGCCATATAGAACGCTTAAATTTCCGTGCAAACGTAGTTGACAACGAATTGCTATGTAATAAAAAAGAAGCCTTACACCAGCGTAAAGCTTTTTCAGTTTTCTGGGATAGTAAGGTATTGAATTAGTTAGTTTTTATGCTATATAGTTTTGTCCAGGAGAGATGGATTGCTTACGTGAGTTCTATAATGAGTTTCCAATTCCCTAGTAAGTTTCTGAATTTGTTTCCAACGCTCCCTATTCCTGACTGCCGCCATAGAGATAAGGCGGCCTCACAGAACCGCCTTGTAGACCACCCATAACGTAGCCGGGGAGGTGGCAGGAGTTGTGTTCAGCTGAAAGTATTCTTTGATGGAGGTAGCTACTTCTTGACGGGAGTTAACATGTGTAAGCAGAGAGTCATTCAACCGCCAAGAGTAGGGAGTAGGTGCTAGACCTATAAAGGTGATAGTGTTACAATATTATGATTTGATCAAGAACACAAATGTATGCCCGCCTTCATGGAGTTGGCTAGCACAATTGGGGAGCAATAGATATAATCGAGCCTAGCATAAGAGTCATGCGGGTGAGAGTAAAGTGAGTAGTCCCTTGCTCCCACATTGTGTGCCCTCCACCAGCTGAAATGCTTCCAGTTTATTAGTGAGGGATTTTGGGAAGGCCGGGGAAAAAGGGGAGGATGAACTTCTATCTAGTAAGGGGTTAGCCACTAGATTAAAGTCACCTCCCACCAATAAATGGGGGACAGGAACTTATCAAGAGTATAAAAAAAAATGTGAAAAAAAAAGTTGATTGAGCCAAGTTCGGTGCATAAACATTGGCTATTGTGAGTTCACGACCCGAAAGGATGCCTTTTAATAATAAATCTGCTCTCAGGATCACGATGAACATGTTGAACCTCAAAGGGAAACGTGTTGTGAAGAAAAATCGCTAGTGGTGCACCGAAATGAAAATTCTGGTGCCGAAAACAAAAATTCAAAATGTACTTGGCCGAAAACCGAAATGTGCAGTTTTTAAAAATGAATATATCTTCTTTTTGGAAAAAAATACTAAGTGGAATGTAAGGTGTAAAACCCTTGCTTATAAGATCTGTGAAAGAATGTAGGATGTTTATCCGCTGTGAAATGGGTCTCTTGTAATAGAATAATCTTCGCCCATAGACTTCTATATTGGAAGAAGGCAGATTTGAACTTATTGGGAGAATTGAAACCCTGGACATTATGTGAGATACAATGAATGACCATGGCTAAATATAAGAAAAATAGTAACTGATATTATCGTATCCATCTGAGCTGTATCAGAAAAATTTTGTCTTATCTGTGGAGCACCTGGATCTGCAGCCTATAAGGTGAAATCTGTCAGTATCATTTTATGGAATATCAAGCCACAGAGATGCGGCAAGGAGATCCACAAAATTGTGTATGACTACCATCATGTACCAAAATTATCAAAAAAACAAAAACATAAAACCGTAGAGGCATGGCCTTAAGAGCCCCTAAAGCTAAAGAAATCACAACAAACCTTGGATCAGGTAGACTAGCTGCCTCACCTGAAAAGACAGAGAAACATAACATCAAAGGGCCAACAGGTCCCAAACCCCATTTGCTGTAAAACATGGAGAGCAGAGTGACCACTCTACATCAGGGCAGTGACCTCTCCGACCATGCCCGGCAACAGGGTGGGGACGCGCATTGACGATTCCCACAGAATCAGCATGGGGGCCATGAGTTAAGGGTCTAAACACCCATTCAAAATTTTTGCACGTCCAAATAGCTAATGGATAAATCAAAATTAACAGACTTCTATAAATATAAGGAGTCTACAGCTTGTCTCAATATCTTATCAAAATATAGAATAGTGATCAAATGAGCAAATCCCTTTCATCCTGGCTCTTCTCTGACTCTCCTCCTTTCCTGTCGTGGAGATTCTTTCATACACAGAACAATGTCTTGAGGCGGTTTATCATTAGGAGGCTTTGGACGCAGAGCTCTATGTATATGGTCGCATGCAAAGGATCTAGTGTCGTGGTCCAGAAGAAGGGATTTGCACAATTGAGTTGTAGCTTGTGAAAGATCAGTCACCATCTCTGGAACTCCCTGAACATGCAGATTATTCCTGCGATTACGATTATCGAGATCTTCAACCTGCGCCTGCAACTGTGTAAAGGCCATTTGTAGATGATCATGATCTCTGGAGAGCTTGCCATAAGCTAAACTGAGTTCATCATGTTTTGTTTCTAAGCAATCTGTTCTAGAACCCAGCGCAGCTATTTCTTGAGAAAGCACATTTGTTCTCTTGTGGAGCTCCGACTGGAATTTAGCGGCCAATTTAGTGTACATAGTCTCCAAACAGAGACAAGGCCCCTTCTACATAGGAACGATCACCATGGGACAGCACAGGTGCCCCGACATATTCTTTAAATTGTAGAAGAGGTTATCACAGCAAGGGGAGGGGTAGATATAGACCGTGGTTAGATGTGGTATTCCCCACGAAGGCCGGAGGCCCAGTCAGCCCAAGCGCAGGCCCCAGAAAGATTACTCAGGCGACAGCAGACCTCAGCACCAGAGTCTCATTGGGGGGGGTGTAGAGAGCCCGGGCTCTCCCCCGTCAGGTGGCCACAGGCTAAAGTGGGCCTGGTAAGGGCCGCGTTACTCCAGAGAGGGGCCCCCGGGCCCTGTAAGCGTAGGCTCCAGCCGACTGCGATCTCCGGAGCTTGGATGGGGGACCAGGTAGCCACCACTAGCCCTCCCCAGCAACGGGTCTACTATGTAGCATCCAGGAGGCGGGGTAGAGGCGCCCTGGATAGGCTCCGATCCCAGGATGCAACGAGGCCGCACTAAGCCTCGATAGGCTGCAGAAGTCCCACACTCCGGAGGGGGGTCAGAGCCATTCAGTTCCCCTCCTGTCTGCAGGCAGAGACAGCGGGACCTCCAATCCTTAAATTAAGTCTCCTGCCGCCAGGAAGGCAGCGGATTAGCTGATGAGGCGATGGAGCTCTCAGTTATGCGGCCGCTCCAGTCACCATCTTGGACACGAGCTCTATTGCTAATAATTTAAAAGGAATATGTCATAAGGTACAATACCTAAGAGAAAAGGCACATATTAAAACTGCCAATATCTACCTGGCATTTAAAGTTGTCCCACAGGTGAAATGCATGGAAGTGAGATGTTTTACCTCCCTTATTTCTCTCTATACAGCCTTGGTATTTACACAGTGTAACACAGAGCACAGCCTCCTGAAGGGTAAAAACCTGCTGCATTTTCCCTGCTTTGGTTGAGTAACACTTTAAGTCTGTGACTGGACAATGAAAACAGTGAAGCTAAATCTGTTTATCTGCATTGGTTCAAAACTGGTCTGAGAGCCAGGGAATTGCGGCTTTCAGAAAAAGCTTCTTGAACACAAATCTTGTTTTATGGGTTAAAATCCATTTAATTATGCATGTTTCAATCTATAATTAGTCATATCAAGTAAAACAAATCCAACAGTAAAAAAATCACCAATGATCCCAATAATTTGTGCAACAAGTTGTTTATTTCCAGTGATCATTACCTTCGCTTAGTGACCATAATGCAGTATTTTTCTGATTGGTTTATTTCCGGGAAATACTGCATTATTACCAATAGATGGAGCTGATCATAGCCTGTAAACATTAGACAATTATTATTTGTGACAGCTGTGCGAATGCGTGGGACATTCACACAGCAATTTATTTTTTATAAATCGATTCCTATTAATGTGGACAAAACTTTGAATAATACATTTGCCTGTGTCTGTCTGAAATGTTTTGAATTCTTCTGTTGTATGACTGTTGGATATATACAGATCCCAAGAAACTTGTTACTGAAACCAGGAACAAAGTGCATTTGTTCCCCATAGTAGGAGCCCAGTTTAGCATGGTTTTTGCCCTCAAAATGAAACATTGCCCCAAAAATCTGATTTTGGAGCAAGAAATTGATTGGTCCATATGGGTAAAAAAAAATTCCAGTTTTTTTGCCATAATGTTTTTCATATTTTTTATTTTATTTTTTTTTTTTTTAAATACTACTTTTGGTTTTTATTTTGCTTAATAGAAATGGTTGTGTCTTCCTGACGTCCCATTTAAGGTTATGTAAGGTTACCAGTTTAGAACAGTGTTTAGATACGTCCTCCTTTAAATAACATTCAACCACATACTAGTAAGTCAAGTGTAACCTTGGTTATGCAAGTACTTCTAGAGCCTTGAACTAAGATAAGTTTTCTTAATAAAATAGTTTTAAGATGACGATTAAGATAAATTTTGTACTGTTATGAACTATCTTTTAAGTGTTTCCACTGTAATTTTTATGCAGGTTAATCTAAAACCTGTCAAGCTTCAAATTCCACAAGATCACTTGGAATACAGTCTAGCGACCGAAAGGAGGAGAATCCGACTTTACCATGAAGTGTCCTATAACAATCTGATGGAGGACAGCGGTGCTCTTTATGGTTCGTGGAATAAATACATGTCCATCCATAAAAATAAGTAGCTAATTTTATATGAAAATACACATTTGTTTACCATTGTAATTAGTAGTTTTGTATGCACAGTATTAGGCTTGGTTCACACTAGCCAACTCCATAGTTGTGCAGCTTTGGAGTGAGATTTTGATATGAATTTTATACTGTCTGAAACTGAAGCCATATCAAAGTTGTATCAAAGTAGTGCAGGAACCTTTTTTGAATACTCAGGGACTTCAGTAGTGCCAACTGGAACGGCTCTCGTAGAGATGCATGACATTTCCTTTTGGGTCTCACAATTTGGATCCTAAGTCTCAGGAGTGTGAACCAAGCTTTAGTGCAAAACATAACATAGAAAGTGCAGCGCTAAAAAAATGATATATACATATGACTGCACCAGTATTTGTAAGGTGGTGCAAAGTTCCTTAGATCTTGTCAAATAGTATAGGCCACATACGATGTGTATGACCTTCCCAATAAAGATGCAGTAATGGCGTATTCCACACACGCCTTCACTTCACCATATAAACGCACAATAAAATGATAGTCCAATGAAAGTTTAGTGATCAAAAAGCTACAGATGGGTTGAGAAAGGCTTGATAAGATCCCCGTGACAAATATAGTCCGGCGTTATGCAAAAAAATGAGTAAATTGCGCACTCACCGGAAGCACAATTTAATTGCGCATTTGTGTCATATACACCAAAGGTCACTCCAGTTGTGGATGGAAAGAAGCTCGGATCGAATGACTCTGTAATGGGGGGTGCCACATCTGGTGGTCCTTTTATAGTAGACCTGGCTCCAAACGGGATCAGATGAATGTTACTCTGGGCCCTGGGATAATCTTCTTGTGGTCCTGAGGAGTTAAGTGCAGCTGGTATAGGTGGGTGGCCGCTGGACCTCCTTGATCCGGCGGCTTGACGACACGGCTAGCAGGGGCTCCTCCTTGACGTGCGTTTCGTATCACACGTACATCATCAGAAGGGATAAGAGCTCATTTTTTTGCATAACGCCGGACTATATTTGTCACGGGGATCTTATCAAACCAAATCAAAAGGCTTTTTTGGTCACTAAACTTTCATTGGACTATCATTTTATTGTGCATTTATATTGTGCGTTTATATGGTAAGTGAAGGCGTGTGTGGTATATGCCATTACTGCATCTTTATTGGGAAGGTCATACACATCGTATGTGGCCTATACTATTTGACAAGATCTAAGGAACTTTGCACCACCTTACAAATACTGGTGCAGTCATATGTATATATCATTTTTTTTTAGCGCTGCACTTTCTATGTTATGTTTTTTTGTCATTTTTAAGGTTTTATGGATTTACTTTTTAGTGTATCAGCTGCTGAATTAGTTAGCGTTCACTGAACCCCCTACTATTATATCTACACATGCTTTAGTGCAGTTTTATAAAAAAATTGTAAATTGTTTAATTTTTACAAGGATGTTGTGTGCACAAGCTTCATGTTTTGCTTTATCAATGCAATAGGCACTTTGCAGTCTATATAATGGGATCTTGATACATAAGAAAAGTATACCTACCCAATTCTGATTTAGTCACAGTAGTTGGCGGCATTCATGGAGCCAGTTCAGTCAAGACACCAAGGGTGGAGAAATGTCAAGGTGAAGATTGACATTGCCTAACCTTTTTTAAGGGGCAGCACCAATCATGCTAGCAGGTGATTGCATCAGGGGCACTGTGATCTTGCAGCAGTTTTCAGGTGTATGCATTGGTCACCAGGTCTGAAAAATGTATACTTTTCAATCTTTCGACCTCTAGAGGCTTAAACAGTGGATGTCGCCAATGACACTGGTTTCTCAGTCAGAGAAGTATATGTATTGATTGGAATAGCAGTGCCTGTTGTCTTATTGAGGAACCTAGACCCAACATGTTAAAGGAAATGTGTTATTTACAAAAAATTTGCTGCTTCTTTTTGTAGATTTCTTAAAATTTTTTCAACCAGGGTGCCGAGGCACCCTGGATAATAAGAACTCGTAAACCGCTTCAGGTGAGATTGTGCAGCATCCACTACTCTGGGATCCGACAGATGCAGATCCAACCTGTGACCACAGCTAAAGTAGTGAAAAAGTAATGTTTGGTGCACTCCAATGAAATTCCAGTAAAAGTAAAATGTATTGAAATCTTCATATAAAAGCATGAATCACAACTCCATATACTGGACAGAGGACAGGTAACTATCCTCTGTCTGAGGTTGGAGTTGTGATTCATGCTTTTATATGAAGATTTCAATAAATTTTACTTTTACTGGAATTCCTTTGGAGTGCAACCCAAACATTACTTTTTTACTGCCTCGGCACCCTGCGATACTTTCAGGTTTCTTCAGGAGTGTCTTGTTAAAATGCCTACAAATTGCCCGAAACGGGTATGCAAGCCAGTGGGTGGAGCAAGCCTGCCTTATGGGTAAACAAAACCACAGGTTTTCATTGTGCACCATTAAAACTTTCCGCTGCCAGCATGCCAACAATCAATGATGTCATTGGTTGATAAGGAGGATGTCAGGCACCTGCACAGCATCCAGGTTTCCCCTTCCCCTGCCCCTCTCCATCAGCACTGAGATCACATTAGCCTGAGTGAGGGAGAGAAACTGAAGGAGAGGAGAAACATTGGACTGCTAGTCAGTGCCAGTGTGCAAAGGTTTGTTACCGTCATAACAATAAATTACCTATAAGGTTGAGTGTCCTATGAGTGGGGATGTCGCTGCATTATGTAAAACTATTAATTTTTTGTTTTTTACAATTTTTATTATGGGGTGCCTCAAGATTGTGCAGAATTTTAAAAGGTGCCTTGACCGAAAAAAGGTTGAGAAATACTGCCTTAATATATAGTACCATTTCTGGGCAGTAGATGGCCAAATTTTCCCCTATCAGGATTTGCTTTTTTTTCCCCAAAAAATTAAATAGGTTTGGACACACATCTAAAAGTAGTTAAAATGACATTTATGTTTAAGCATTTGTTTTTCACATATATAGTGAGGTTCGCATTGAATATAACTTGTTTTAAAAGCTCACATCCCATACTCATTGATTCTCTGTTGCAGACCCAGATTGGGAAAATGACCACAACAAGATCTCCACAGACTGTACCCGCGTAGAGAGCATTGAACTGGTTCTTCCACCCCATGCAAACCATCAAGGGAACACATTTGGAGGACAGATCATGGCTTGGATGGAAACTGTGGCTAATATTTCTGCAAGGTCATTTGTAGATTTATTTAGAAAGATACAATACGTCACCTGTCCTGTTATTTCTCTGCCCTGGATTTGCTTGTGTCCTGTGTTCATGAAGACAAACTCTGTAGAGCTTAAAGCTGTTATAAAGGTAGAAGGTATTTGCATTGCAATGTTACTAAACCCACAACAGTAAAATCAGTCTGTATATACAGTAAAACACGCTGTTATACTCACTGTGGAACCTAAGGGGTTAATCCTCTGCATTGTGTAAAAACGCTGTTTGATCCTGACTTCTCTGATCCTCCCCTTCTTCCAGTGCCTCCCTCTTATCTCCTGATAAGACATGTCATGCGGAGTCATTCTGCACATGCTCAGTTTAGTGTGTATTGCTAGAGAGGTTTTTTTTTTTTTCTCTTTGGCCCTGTGCTGATCACATGCACCCCCCCCCCCCCCCAATCGGCTCTGTCCAAACAGAGGTCAGGAGTTCTGCATCCTCCTAGAACAGAATGAAAACTCCTCCTACAAGCTTTAACATGTGCTCAGCTGGATACTGATAAAAGTCACAAGACTGCTCTAACTGCTGCTGAGAAAAGGTATTTGGCAGTTTATAATTACTAAAATAATTGCATTTCCACGTTCTGTGCACTGTAGAAGACTGGATATAGTGAATGCAGGGTCCTGGGTTTAGTAACACGTTAACCCCTTCACACCTAAGGGTAAAACAAATCTGAACGCTTAATTAAAATTTTACAACTTTGACATGTTAGTAAAACCGTACCTAACATCACAACTACTTTGTACATCCAGGTGAATTATACATTGGTTTTTTTTTTTCAGGACAAAATTTTTTTTTTTTTTTAATTTAGCTGTGTGTTTCTTGTTACTACCATAACCTGCCACCAAAGAACAACCCAAAATAAATTTTCCGCTGTTGATGATCGCAGCAATACCATATATGTGTATGGTATTTGTTGTTTGTACCCACAGTACAGACCAGAAACAATATTGCACATTTTGTTTTTTGTTTTACCTAAAACACGCTGACACTGATACCAATTAAATTAAAAAAAAAAAAATGATGAATACTTGGCCAGGCTAATACTGTATGGATGACACTTCCAGACATACATTGGAGTTGATTTACTAAAACTGGAGAGTGCAAAATCTGGTGCAGCTGTGCATAGTAGCCAATTGGCTTCTAACTTCAGCTTGTTCAATTTTTGCGCTATAAACAAAAAAGACCGACAATTTTAAGAAAAAAATATTTTTTACTTTTTGCTATTCTGCTACATGTCTTTGCTAGAAAGGAAAAGAAAAACCCAACACGTGTAAATTGGTTTACGTAAGCTATAGCGTTTACAAATGGCAGTATAGATACTGGAATTTTTTTTTTTTTAACTAGTAACGGCGGTGAGCAGCGACTTATAATGGGACTGCAGCTGGCACTCTGACACTGAGGGGAACTGATTTGGTATCACTGACATCCCCAGTGACACCAATACAGTGATCAGTGCTAATGAAAAGCACTGACCGTACTAATGACACTGGGCAGGAAGGGGGTTAACATGGGGCAATCAAAGGGTTAACTGTGTGCTGTTTTACTACGTGGGCTGTGTCTGTGTTTCACTGTAAGCACACTGCTTTGTATGGCTTTGCTATGCAGGGCCATACAAAGCCGTGTGCAAGAGTAGACAGGGGAGAGGTCTGTGTTGTTTATACACAGGTCTCTCCCCTGTTGGAGATACTTGGCGATTTTATGTACCCCTGCCGCCCTGTAGCCGTATTTCTGCTATAGGCTGGAGGGGAAGTGGTTAAGCTTTGACAATAAAACCTGGAAGCTGATTTGTTTCTTTGCAGAACTGCACCAGATTATGCACTCACCAGTTTTAGAAAATCAACCCCATTTTGTTCTAACATTCAACCATGGAATCTATCCAAAGCTGGGACTTGATGGTAGGATCCTGAGGAAAAGAAAATACAGCAAAACGCGTTGATCCACTATACTATAATGAGAGTGCAATCATGCTATTCATGTTGCTGCCACTCAATCCAGTTCTAAATAAAAACATTTTAACAGTGAAGGGTTGAAGTGATGAATAAAGTCCTAAAGGTTATGAAATTCAGTTGTTGTTTTAGCCAACTCAAGTTAGGGCTAGGAGCACATAGTTACCTTCCCTGGGAGGTTCTTGATGATGGTAATCTTCTTGTTTGATGCCTTCTGTGCCCCAGTGATTTCAATGGGCTCAATATTTCCCTTACGAACAACAGGAGAGTTCCCAGGGAAGGTACCTCTATGTGAAGGTTGCATTCTTTCCAAGCACCTTGTCAATAAATTTGGCTTTTCTTTATAATTTTGACTACATAATGCAAATATGATATTAGAACTGCCGTGCTTTTTTGTATTTATGCAAATATTTCCTTTCAGTGTTCATATATTTCATTATTGACATAAGAAAATACACTGTGAGAGTGATGGGTACATTTATATGTTGTTTATATTGCCATAAAATGATAAAGTACATTCTAAAATACATAAAACACCATCAAACATAACTTCTTCACATTCTTTGTACAGCCGCCTGTGTCATACACATGCAGTTCTTAAATCTGTGGATATGTTTAAATTCAGAGGACCTTCCACTGTTGGGGATCGACTGGTGTTTCGAGCAATTGTAAATAACACGTTTCAGAAAAGGTAATGCTTAAATGCACAATTTCAACTATGAATTCTAATAGTTTAAAGTAGAATCAGGGGTGGACTGACAACTCATGGGGCCCCTGGGCAATAGGGGATCATGGGGCCCCTGTGTCCTTGCCAAAACTCAAAAAAGCCTATGAAAAAGGTACCAGGGGCATCTCATGGGGCCCCCTACTGACCCCGGGCCCTCGGGCAGTGCTCGAGTTTCCAAATGGTCAGCCCGCCCCTGAGTAGAACTATAAGCAAAACATTTTGTTTCTGTTTGTTTCAATTTTGGCTAGAGTAAGGGGAAGAATATAACTAATGTAAGGTTTATTTTTGCCATTGGTGTCCCATTTACTTTTACTTCTTGTCTCATAGCCAAAACAGGAAGTAAAAGGAAATCTCTGCTAATTAAGGTAATATCTCGAGTACCCCCAGATCACCAGAACTAGTGCCCCCATTGGAAGATTTCCCCTCTATTACTTTTCTGGGAACAACCCAAAATTTGGGGTTTTCTATTACTTTCACTTTTAATGATAATGGTAAACAGGACAAATGGAAAGGGTGAATCTCCCTAACGGAAACAGCAATAATGGCTGATAAGGGTTCTAATCCCTCTCCACTCTACCCAAAACTAAAAAAAAAAAAAAAAAAAAAAAAAAAATGTTTTGCCTTTACAGTAGTTATACTTTAAGAATAAATTTATTACATATGACACACAAATGAGACACATAGTTTTGGGGTAAAAAATATTTCTTTTGATGGTATTGACTTCCAATATTTATTTAATTAAAATATATTTTAAATACAAAATAAAAAGTGATAATTTTAAAATGAGTTGTCATACTTTTGATATAGGAGCATATTTATAAAACTGTAAACATGACATTCACTGCAAATGAATCTCTGGATAACAAAATACTTGTACCAGAAGATACACCTGCAGTGAATGTCACATTCCCTGCCATATTAGTATGCCCCGTTAAGTTGTAATGTATTTGTGATTTGTCTAGGTTCTCATGGCATCAAATTCTGTATCTGGTACAAAGAGCAACCAAGTTATTTTCAAATAGAAACATTTAAGAAAAAAAGAAAAAGTTGCATATGTGTTTTTCATTTAATAATTGCAATATAAAACATGAAATAGATGAGCACAAAACACCAGTAGAAAACACAAAAAATATATTCTACTGTTCAGGTTTGTTTTAGCAGCTGATATGTAAAAACAAACCAATCAAAAAGATAAAATATAATTAGATGCTCCTGAGAGCTGCAGCTAAATGCAATTTATCAATATATGTTTTTGCATTTTAACAAGCGCTGAAACAGGTTAATCAGTTGATTACTGCTGAAAGTTTACAGAAAATCCCAGCAGCTACACACATGGGCAGGTCCATAAAGAGGAACAAAACCCAAAAACAAAAATGTAATATATTGTACCTTACCAATCATTAAATGTCATGGCTGTACTAGTTTTTTCTTTTTTAAATTTTTTTCCATCTGTTTCACCTGGAAATTTGACCAGTAACACACCACCTGTATTAGAATGCCTGAACTCTGGATGAAGGAGAGCAGGGGGCACATTTTGACAGCAGCATTGTCAATCTGGGGGGAGAGTACTGTTAAATGTACTAGCAGATTTTAATATACTAACAAATTGAAGCCAAACTTCAGCTAACACTTTCTAATCAGTTACAGCAAACCGTTTGTTTTCCCATTTGGGATAAAAGTTTACCCATGATAAGCACCCCTGCCAGTGTTAAATGGGTTATCTCATCCCTGTAAACTGATAGATCTGGAAGAGAGCTTGTTTTTTTTTAAAAAAAAAAAAAACAACTTACTAGCCAGATCAGAGTGAAAACAATGTGTAAAGGAAAGAGCCTATAAAAGAAAACTCATGCAGCCATCACATCTAAGTGACCTCTAATTGGCCAGCTGCAATATAATGTTTGCTTTTGGTTTTAAAGAGTATGTAATTCCAACATTTTCATATTCCTGACTTTTGCCTGCTCTACCATGTATTTATATGAAAAAGTATCCTGTTCCCTTTGTATTGCTTCCTTTGTGTGAAATCCCTGGTGTTCCTGCAAGTACCCCTACTTTCCTTTTAAATACTGACCACACTAGGCATAAGAGCAGAGTCCATTCTCTAGCTGTGCTGGGAATGCAGCCTACTCTTCTCCAATGTTCATACTTGTCCTGGCCCCCCCCCCCCCCCCCAACCGCTTTTCACTGGGAAGAGCTGTGTACTTTGTAGCTCTCTGAAGCTGAGAACAGAGGGCATGTGATCACTTTTATAAAAAAAAAAAAAAAAAAAGGGATTTAGAATATCTATAGAATTACCTTAATTATTATAATATATAATTACCTTTCATTTCTATTTTAAACTGAGTAGGTTGTTTTACAAGGTGAGGGTTTGCAATCACTTTAAAGGATAAATTCACCTTTCTACAAAAAATAATAAACGTACATTTTTTTGCAGGTAAAAAAATGTGCATTTATTATTTTTTGTAGGAGGAGCCTGGAAAGCATTGCACCAGCAATCAGTAGATCGCTGATGCCATGCAGGTCTTCTTCAGACTTATCAGTGTGTCTGCTTGCTTGTACATCCTGTACGGGCAAGCTGATACTTCTGACAGGAAGACTCTATGAACCTCCACAGCACTCACAGCGCCATGGTAATTCATTGAGAACTATAAGCTGACAGCCGCTAAGGATGTTGGGACTTGTAGTCCGTTCATTCACAGAACACTGTGAATTGATGATATACGGCCATGTGGGCGGAACCCCGTATGACCGCACTGTTTTTAAAAAGTGACAGCTAGTATGGGGAACTTCTCCCTGTACTGCTGTCATGGGGGAAGGGGGATCAGCGGAGGCTGCAGGATCGGGAACATGTTTAAAAGGGGTGGAACATGCAACATGTTCCCAAAGGTGAACTTATCCTTTAATACTGCTTTAGCTGGTTAATGGTAAGAACATGGACAAATAAAGCGGCCCCTCACCCGAAATCAAAGCACTGCTCATCTTTGTTCACATTCTTAAGTTACCAAATGGACCATGATGTTTTTTAGGCCCCTTCTCTTTTTTTTTTTTTTTTTTCTCAATCTGGAACTTTTCTTGGAGAAAAAAAGATTTAGGTTATTGTGTTCAATGCAGTCCAATGCATTATTGTTCACCTTTTGGAAGCTTTATATTAAGTCATATAATATAACCCGGTTAATAATCAATACATGGTTTGCATGTATATTTTATATTTTACTTTATTGTTTTTATTATTTTATTTAATTGTTTTGTTTTATATTATTTTTGTATGGAGGGGAGCCCCAGGGCAGTTGCCCATTTTTCCTCCCTACAAATCCAGTACTGATCAGCTCATGGGATTTCTGGCAGGATCATTTTTTTAAACTTCTTCTAGAACAGATATTACAAAACACTTTCATAGATATATACAATAGTTAACAGACTAAAGGCGGCAGGTAAGTGAAGTTAATTGTGTAGGTTTACATAAACTCTCTAAACCTATGTTTGAAGCCACACTGGAACTTTGCTACTTGTTACTATTTTTCTCAGTTTTTTATAGATAAAGCGACTGGCACAGTAAGGCGGGTAAATGTATTAAATTCATATACTGTAAAATAGTATTCTTCTGTATTTTCTGCCATAAATGAAATGACTTCTGGGTAGATACAGTGATCACATATATCAATGGTAGGTGTTCTTAATCAGGAAAGGCTATGTGAATAATCCAACACATTGGATTCGGGTTGCCAATTAGAATGGTGTTGCCCATGGAGAGGCTTCTTTTCATGCTTGAACCGGATACTAATAGTGGTAATCTTGCTCTGCTTATAATCCAATGGAGACACCTGTGCCGCTGCAACCGATAAAAGATATTTAACAGCTGAATAGCACTAGAACTTTCTTTGTAAAATAACTACCAGAACCACTCATCAATGTCTATAATATTATTTCAGGAGTTTTCATGGCTGGATCTTTTATACAGTTGCAAGAAAATGTATGTGAACCCCTTGAGATTACATGGAGTTTTGCATGAATTGGGCATAAAATGTGCTCTGAGCAACATCTAAGTCACAACAATAGAAGAACACAGTCTGCTGAACATAATACTACACAAACATTAGATGTTGCCATGGTTTAATTGCACATAACATGTAAACATTCACAGTGCAGGGAGGAAAAAGTATGTGAACCTTTGGACTTAATAACTGGTTGACCCTCCTGTTGGCAGCAATAACCTCATCCAAACATTTCCTGTAGTTGCAGATCAGACCTGCACAACCTGCACAACAATTCTTGATCGTAGGTCTTCTGAGAGCTCTTTGCTGCGAGGCATGGTTCACATCAGACAGTGCTTCTTGAAACCAGTAAACCCAAAACAGGTGTGTGTGTCAGGAATGGACTGGCCAGCAATGGTGGGACTCACCTGCCTTTTGATCTGCAGTACCAGGGCTGGCCAGCGGATGCTCCCAGCAATCAGAGACTCAGAGCCCGCTGTCATACCTGGTGACCCGGTGCCCACTGCCTTGCCAGATGACGCGGTGCCCACTGGCAAGCCAAATGACCTGATGCCTGGTGACCCAGTGCCCGCTGTCATACCTGGTGACCCGATGCCCGCTGTCGAGCCAGACAATCCGATACCTGATGACCCGGTGCCCACTGTCGTGCCTGTTGACTCGGAGCCCACTGTCGTGCCAGTTGACTCGGTGCCCGCTGTTCCGCCAGTCGACTCGGTGCCCGCAGTCTTGCCAGACGACTCGGTGCCCGCAGTCTTGCCAGACGACTCGGTGCCCGCAGTCTTGCCAGACGACTCGGTGCCCGCAGTCTTGCCAGACGACTCGGTGCCCGCAGTTTGCCAGTTGACTCGGTGCCCGCTGTTCCGCCAGTTGACTCGGTGCCCGCAGTCTTGCCAGACGACTCGGTGCCCACTGTCGTGCCTGGTGACTCGGTGCACGCCGCTTTGTCTGGGGGCCCGAGACCTGTCGCTCCGCCTGAGGGCCCGAGACCTGTCGCTCCATCTGGGGGTCCGGCGCCCGCCACTCCGCCTGAGGGCCCGAGACCTGTAGCCCCGCCTGGGGGTCCGGCGCCCGCCACTCCGCCTGGGGGAGACCCCCCGAGGGGGTCGCCCCGCCGCTCCGCCTGGGGGCCCGAGGCCCGTCGCCCCGCCTGGGGGCCCGAGGCCCGTCGCCCCGCCTGGGGGCCGAGGCCCGTCGCCCCGCCTGGGGGCCCGAGGCCCGTCGCCCCGCCTGGGGGCCCGAGGCCCGTCGCCCCGCCTGGGGGTCCGGCGCCCGCCGCTCCGCCTGAGGGCCCGAGACCTGTAGTTCCGCCTGGGGGCCCGAGGCCCGTCGCCCCGCCCGGGGGCCCGGTGCCCGCCGCTCCGCCCGGAGTCCAGCCCGGTGTGCCTCTGCCCGGAGTCCAGCCCGGTGTGCCTCTGCCCGGAGTCCAGCCCGGTGTGCCTCTGCCCGGAGTCCAGCCCGGTGTGCCTCTGCCCGGAGTCCAGCCCGGTGTGTGCCTCTGCCCGGAGTCCAGCCCGGTGTGCCTCTGCCCGGAGTCCAGCCCGGTGTGCCTCTGCCCGGAGTCCAGCCCGGTGTGCCTCTGCCCGGAGTCCAGCCCGGTGCTGCGGAGTGCCTCTGCTCGGTGTGCCTCTGCCCGGAGTCCAGCCCGATGTGCCTCTGCCCGGTTTACCGCTGCCCGGAGTCCTGCCCGGTGTGCCAGTCTTTGATATCCCGCCAGTTACCAGACCCGGGCGGTGCAACATTTTTCCCAGCTAGGACTGTTTGGAGCGTCCTGAGGCCGCTCCTTGAGGGGGGGGGGGTACTGTCAGGAATGGACTGGCCAGCAATGGTGGGACTCACCTGCCTTTTGATCTGCAGTACCAGGGCTGGCCAGCGGATGCTCCCAGCAATCAGAGACTCAACTTTGCAGCCAGCTAACACCTGGAACTGATTATGCTGGGGTATTTAAGGGATGGCCAGACCCACAAACTCTGCCTTGGTGTTGTGTTTGTCCTGGGCCCTGTATCCTGTTTCTGTCCTGCATCCTGTTTCTGAACCGCTGCTGACTTCTCCTGCTCTGATCCCGGCTCGCTCCTGACCATCCCTCTGCCTGACCCTCTGTACCACGCTGCTTGCTACCTGTTCTGATCCCTGGCTTGTGACCCTGACCATCCCTCTGCCTGACCCTCTGTACTACGCTGCTTGCTACCTGCTGAACCTGGCCTGTGACCCCGACCAATCTCCGCTTGCTCCCCCTGTACCTACCTGCCCTATTGATATTGACCCGGCCTGCCTGACGACGCTTGCTTGTATGTACTGTTATCTGTGGGTGGTTGGCTTGGTTTGGTTTGGTTGCACTGTATTATGTTTTAGTATTGCACTGCGTTTATGTTTGTATTGTTAGTGTTAATAAATTATATTGTTTATAACATATCTGAGGTCTGCGTTTCCCTGCGTCAGCCACACACCTCTGGTCACACCTGGGAGCCCTGACAGTGTGTTTTTTAAGGGCAGGACAGCTGTCAGCAACACATCCAATATCATCACACTGATTGGAGTCAAGGTTGGCTCACTCCTGGCTCTTATTAGCTCTGGGAGAAGTCATTAAGCTAGGGCCTCACATACTTTTTCCTCCCTGCACTGTGAATGTTTACATGTTATGTGCAATTAAACCATGGCAACATCTAATGTTTGTGTAGTATTATGTTCAGCATATTGTGTTCTTCTATTGTTGTGACTTAGATGACGTTCAGAGCACATTTTATGCCCAATTCATGCAAAACTCCACGTAATCCCAAGGGGTTCACATACATTTTCTTGCAACTGTATAGAAAAAAATCTGATTTAAAGTGTAGGATGTATTATTCTGTGCCTGAAGGACACCACTGCTTGTTTCCTCTCACAGAAGATTATAGGACAGAGTTGTTTGTACTCAGCTGATCCAATTGGTTGAAGTCTTAGCTTTGGCTTTGGAGTTGTTGATATGGGAATTCTAAAATGTAATCACTGATCTTGATTATATATGTGCTTTACTTCAGTGTTGAGGTTGGTGTCCGAGTGGAAGCTTATAACTGTGAGGAGTGGACAGAGGGCAAACCACGCCATATTAATAGTGCTTTCCTCATTTATCAAGCGCTGGATGCCAACAACCAGTATGTAACGTTCCCCAGAGTTAAAGCCTCAAACAAGGTGAGATCCCATATATATTTCGGAATATTTTCACTGAGCTCAGATTCATGCTACATGGTGCACTGAGATTAGTGAACCCTTTAAAATATGCCTGGTTTGCTGGTATTGGGTGGTCACATGGACATGCTTATAAATGTACATATTTAAATCTGAAGCCTGGTCATGTTTCCTTTTGCTGTTCATTAAAATGGAACACGATGTGATAGAAGCATGCTGTTGGACAGTTGTGCATAATAGATAAACTGTGTTCTTTTTTACCTGAACTTTCCTTTATATACTCTGCTACTAAAATGCATGAAGTGCTTCCTGGTCCACATAATAAAATATGCATGTGAAAAAAAATCCCATTGCAACAAGACTATCTCTTACACCTTCGTTTTTTTGCAGGGGCACCAGTAAATGTTAAAATCTGGTTGCAATGGCACCAATGAATGGTAGAGCCTGACTGGCTGTAAGGACAACACACAATTTATTTTTCAGAATATTGGGAACCAGTGCATATGAAAGCCCACAGGAGCCATTTCAGTTAGAGACTAGTCAGAGACTAATGTTTTTTTGTACAGTTTTATCTGGAGAGACGTTAAGAACCGAATATGTACAGTCTAGAGCAGGGGTCTCCAAACCTTCTAAACAAAGGGCCAGTTTAGTGTCCTTCAAACACTGGCTGAGACCAGTGGGAGTAGAAAATGTCTTGGTATCAGTGGCAGTAAACATTGGTGCCAGTGGAAGGAATAGTGCCCCATCATTGGTGTCAGTGGGAGGAATAGTGCCCCAAGAGCATAAAAAGCAAGCAAAGGGCCGCAGTTTGGAGACCTCAGGTCTAGAGGAAAGAAAGGAAAGAGGAGAATGATTGGAACCTTTAATTATATCAAGGGGGCGAATAAGATTCAGGAGAGCAGTATTTTCAATTTGAATCCAAGATCAAGAACACTGGGATATGAGCTCAAACCAGCAGGAGGAAACTTCAAAACTAATCTTAAAAGCTATTTTTTTACCCAAAAGAGTAGTTGATGCTTGGAATAGACCTCCAGCTGAGGTAGTGAGTCAGTCAACAGTAAGTGGATTCAAAGATGCTTGGGACAAACCTAGATCTACACAAAAAGTAAAAAAAATGTGTTTGGCTTTGTTTCTGAGTTTCTACATGCTTAATGATCACCTCTTGCACATAAACTAGCTTTTATGCTGTCATAAGTAGGAATGCAATTAAATTTAGAAATTACATTTCCCCCAAATTTTGGCTACAAATGTGTGTTAATAGAAAGTGAAATTTGGGTAGTTTTTGCCAATTAAGAGTACAATGGGTTTTGAATGGCTTCCAATTTTGGTCCAGGAACCTCATTAGCCTTATCGCATATCTATCTGTTTGTTTTCTTTTTTCTTTTTTTACAGAAAGACCGTGTTAAAAAAAAAAATGTAAACATGACAATTACATACAAAAAGAAATTAAACAAACCAAACTGCCCAAAATAATAAATATTTTTTTTTTTAACAAATTTCACCTACGCAGCACAATGAGCAAAATTAAAAGTTTCTGATTTGGCGCAGTTTCTCAATGAAGTCCATTTCATTAGTCATCTTGCACGACTCAAGGACACTTGCAATAAGCCACAGAAAGCTGTCGGTAGTATTCATTTGAAGGGTCCCCAGTGTCCATTTGGTACTGACCTCTGGTCTAGATGGAAGCTGTTGTGATTTCATAAGAAATATTGTAATACTGATTAAATTAGGTACAAAGATGAAACAAACCGTTTGCCAACAGGAAAATAAAGATGACTTGTTTGATATGTTAAGCCGATAGAAGTACAGGCTGGTACTGTTATCAGAGATAAGTTCTTCTTTATCTAGACTTTTACTGAAGCCCAGTGATATCTGTAGAGGCCAGTTATCTGGTTTTTGTAGGTAGACCTTCAAATGTTAACATTTTCTTTTTCTTTTCTTTTTTTTTGTCCCCCGGAATTGAACATATCTAAGTATATTGGCCAAACACACAGTATTTAAGGTTTCTATTTAGTGGATTTTTAATAGGGCACGATTGCACTGTAACATTGTCAATGAATTTGCTACAACAAAAATAAAGTAGGGTGCACACTATGAGAAAATCGGACGAACAGTTTTCAATATAATGCAACTGACTATGGCATTAACTTGTACAAAAATTCAAAACTCAAAAAATTCAAAAAATCTTTGTACAATTATTATTTATTTCAAGTACTTATATAGCGCTGTCAATTTATGCAGCGCTTTACACATATATATTGTACATTCACATCAGTCCCTAACCCTCAAGGGGTGTACAATCTAAGGTCCCTAACTTACATTCATACATACACATATTACAGCAATTTAGACAGGATCCAATTAACCTACCAGCATGTCTTTGGAGTGTGGGAGGAAACCGGAGTACCCGGACAAAACCCACGCAGGCGCATGGAGAACATGCAAACTCCAGGCAGGTGGTGCCGTGGCTGGGATTCGAACCAATAACCCTAGTACTGCTAGGCGGAAGTGCTAACCATTTAGCCACTGTGCTGCAATTAGTGAAAATCTAACACGTTCACATACATTAAAAATTTTCTAGCTTGCACCTTTGTTTGTTTTTTAATGTTTTTTTTTTGTCCGAACAGTCAGAATCAGCTGACAAACACTATACCAGGGGTCTTCAAACTTTCTAAACAAAGGGCCAGTTTATTGTTCTTCAGACTTTAGGGGGGCAGGACTGTGGCCATCAGGAGGGGAAATTTTCCTGGCATCAGTGGGAGTAAACCTAACATTAGATATTATTGGGAGGAACAGTGTAAGAAATTGTGCCCTGTTGGTGATGTCAGTTGGTGGAATAGCATATCGTATCATTGAGAGGAATAGTACCCCAAGGGTCTGATAAAGGCAAGCAAAGGGCCACAGTTGGCCCCCCAGGCCACAGTTTGGAGACCACTGCACTATACTTATGATCAGATAATTGACCGATTGTTCCCCGCACTGAATTTTTCTTAAATTTTTCTTCAATTTTTGAAGAATGTTTTTTCTTATTTCTGTTGTGTAAAAAGATAATGTACCTCTGCTGATGTTTATCCCATATCTGGGTCACTGTTCTGTAAATTTCACTGTTATATTCACGCTGGATAGTACAGATTTTGCTATACTTATGGTCACTATAGCCCTTGCTAGTGTTTTTGTCCACCCAATCTCCCCTTGTCTATTCGCAGAACCCCTTGTATTTTGTGAATAGTTAACATAATACAAGGCCTTCTGGTAATAGATAAGGGAGGGGGGTGGCAGATAAACAACACTAGCATAAGCCACAGATCTCATAGTCAACAGTAGACTGGAAGTATAGTGAATGTTGTACTATTGAACCGAAAAAAAGTGGGAAATTAATAGCAAAGAGCGGTGATCTTGGAATGAATCTTAGCAGAGGGTAACTTGAAATAAGTACCTCCTATTATTGCATATGTAAAATTAGTGTTGCCTGATAAGGTCCACTTGAGATTATTAACTCTACCATTGAATATAAAGTATAAATTACAAGCAGCTTAAAGTAGAACTCCGGGCAACAATTTCTTTACATGTCCTTGTTGCTGATTTCCTACCTTCCCTGAAAATTTATCTTCTGGTTCATGCATTAGTTGCTCTGAAATAGCCTATTCATTTTCAAATCAAACTGTTAATTCTCTTTTGGCTTCCTTTTTGTAAGACCAGCAGCTGCTATGCCTTCTATTCCCCCAGCCACTGGTCTTGGAACATCCCTTCTGTAGTTCTTACCCCAGGAAGCAGTGATCTAAAGAAGCCCCACTTGCGGTGGTGGGAAGACCGGAACTCTCAGACACATTCAACATGTACAGGCCTAGTGTACCCACCCACATTCACTACAATTCCCTGTGGTTGATGGGAAGTGTAGTCTCCTGAGAGGCGAGGATATGATGTATTCCCTGCTGTTACACCTCCTCCTTGGCAGAGCAGATGCTTTTATCTTTTGAATTATGGAGATGATGTAATAAAAATTCAGTTAGACTTTTCACCTAAATGATTTAAAACATTTTATTAACGGTTTAGTGTTATATGTAGGGGGTGTACTAATGAGTGATTTTTTTGCCTATCCTGGAGTAAACCTGAGCTGTTAAACCACTATAGCGCAGTTAGTTTTTTTGTTTTGTTTTGGGGTTTTTTTTACAACATTTTAAAGGGCAACTGCATCATTGTTTGTTTTTAAAATCAATATTGTATGGAGCCTAGCATAATCATTAATTTATTAAAATAATATACATTTGAATATAAACTGAGATTTGCCATGGTTAACTCAACTATTGCTAAAACCAGCCCAAATGGTAACTGCTCAACAGCTCTTGTAGAGAGGCAAGTACACAGGAAGAACTATCCTGCATGCACTCTACAAATCCCAGCATTCAATGCACCTGAGAAGAATGAACTAACCAATCACCTATTGGATGGGCAGGAGAAGCAGATGGAAAAACAATTATTTGAAACTTGGACAGTACCAAAATCTTGTGTATTGGCAAAATCTTAGTTTATGTGGAAAAAGGTAAACATTTGTTTTGCTGGTTTTAATAAAGGTGATGGCATTGTTACAATATTTAAGTGGTTAGAAAGTCTAATTTTCTTTTCTAAAATAATAAACGTGTTATACTTACAGTACCTGCTCTGTGAAATGGCATTTTACAAAGCACCCCTGAACTTTCACTTCTGGGGTCTCCTGCTGACATTTTTGGAACCTGCTCTTTGTATGCGGAAGCTTTCTAGGCATCAGTTAAACACTGGGATAAGTGTATAAATGTAGCAGAGGAGTATATCGAAAAATAAATGTAGTTTCCACTCCTTGAAATTTTGTTCTTTTATTAGATAAACTCAAAAGTCCCAGTTTGACTTGAACACCCCTCGTAATATTATAGGATTGCGCCAGCAATCAGTAGATCGCTGATGCCATGCAGGTCTTCTTCAGACTTGTCAGTGTGTCTGCTTGCTTGTACATCCTGTACGGATGGGATCATACATTGTTATAAAATTAGAGTTCGTTATCACACATGAGCAATTTTCATAATGTTAAATTATGGAAATTGAAACCGTTTTCCATGTGTTAGGAATATGGAGAGTTTGTTTCTCTAAACATTCTTCTGATCTTTGTAGGACAGCATCAGACGGTTTTGTGGAGCCATCGCACGCAGGAAAATTCGTGTGGCCAGGTACGAGACATATATTTTTTAATTTCCTTCAAAAACCTGGCTTATGTAATTTGGTGGATTCTTCCGATTTGGCAATGATAAGTTTCTTTGATTATCCTTTTCACAATAAAGCACAGTATTGTCTCTTACAGGCAAATTATAACGGCAAATGGTTTGATTAGTATGAATTGTCACTTATTAAAAAAAAGAAAAAAACAACTGTCCACCCACAAAGAGGGAGCTATTACCCACAATAATGGTAAACTGTGAGAAACAGGGCAGGTCAAAAAGATTGCAGTTTAGATAAACCTGCTACAAGACTTTAGTGGTAGCTCTGTATTAAGTGTATTGAATATCAATGTTCTCTGTCAAAATGTCAATCCAGTCATTTACCAAACCAGTGATCAGCTGTCCCTCTTTCTGCTTGGTGTGTCTGGGAGAAGCTGAAAGGGTACGTGGCTGATGCTGGGCAGGCATACAAAAAAAGACATGCTAAAAAAAAATAAGAAAAAAAGCCATCAGACCAGCCAAAAATTCTACCCATCCTATACACTATATATTAAAAAACAAAAACAAAAAAAATTGTTTAAAAGAGAAATGGGGGTTAGGTGGGGGGTCCAAATCCCATGGGATTATTTTGTTATTCTAACACACTGTACAAATAAAAACACACTATGCATTTACACACTAACAGTAGATATACTGTATATGTTTTTAATATTTTCTTTAAAAAAATGTTTATTTTAGTAGCTAGGTTTATACATTGGATTATAAGAGCTGTCTGGTTTCTTTTTTTTTTTTTTTTTTTTTTTTGTCCTGGTTTTCTAGAAAGTATATTCTGTCAAGCAAACCAGAAAAGCCAGTCTCTCATCCTTGGGATAAAGGCAACCAGGTATTTGTATGTCCTAAGATATATGGTTATTCAGTTGGCATATTAATAGCTTTCGGATAAATGCCATTTTTATGGATTCTAAATTCTAAAAGTCCATGTTTTTGAAAAAATGGATAGAGCTAAATTGATTATACACATTTGTTGCTTAGGGGTAATATTTGATTCCTCTGAACTCTATCATTTAAACTTCATATCCACAGTACTACTTATACCCAACTCTCAGTATCTGTCCTTTTCTCCCAAAGCTAGTGATTGGGATTATATTGTGGCTTTCCATTAGAACATACTTGCTGTGTGGCCAAAAAAAAGAAGGGACTCTGCTGTTGGACTAGCAGATCCTAAAAGCTGGACTCCAGGAAGATACAGTGTATAAAAACAACCAATACATGCAGCTCTGTATTCATTTATAGGATTATTAAGGTCAGTGCACAGGATTTAGATGGTACTGTGCTCCTAGATCCTACTCTTATTAACCAGTGGTTTGCTGCTTACTACCGTGTCTTGTATACTTCTAGAGCCAGACAGGATACGTCTGATCTACTTCAATATCTAGATACTGTTGATCTCCAAATTTCTCTCAGATGATCAAAGAGTTAGGCTGGATAGTCTGATGTCTCTGGAAGAGGTTCAGCAGGCTATTGTAGATCTCCAATCTGGTAAGATCCCATGCCCCTATGGCCTACCAGTGTAATTCTCTGAGATGTATGCTGGATCCCTGTTCCCCCATCTTCATCAAACCTTGACTGCAGCCTTGGAGACTGGGTGTACTTCCTCTATCTATGTCAGGGGACCATAATAGTGGTCATCCTGAAACTCGGGAAGCACTGAATTCTGATGCAAGGTCCTGGAAAACAGACTGAAGAGTATTATCTCTGATTTGGTGCATGATGATTGGTTTTATGCCTGGAAAAAGCACCGTCAACATCCGGAGCCTTTTTACAAAAACCTCTGTGGCTGGTTCAACTGGGGGTTCTGTTGTGGTAGTGCCCCTAGATACATAAAAAGCCTTTGATGTGGTTGAATGAGAATTTCTGTGGGAGGTCCTATATAAGTTTGGCTTTGGCCCAGACTTTGTATCTTGGTTGAAATACTTGTGCAAGGCTACAGCAGCTCAAGTTTGCACCAATAACACTTTGTCACCCCCTTTTAGCTTACAGATTTACTAGACCGGGATGTCCCCTCTCCCCAGGACTATTTGGAACCTCTCACCTGTATGATCCAATGTATGCTGATGATCCCTTACTAAACCTTGGAGACTCTTCCTCATCCTTATGCTTTAGACATTGATACCTTTTGGTATTTACTTATCAAAATTAATTGGGACAAATCCATCCTTTTTCCTCTTGCCCCGCTTAAGCCAGTATCTAAGTTTAAATATCTTGGCATGGCTTACCTTAGTTAATCAAGTCATCCCTATGTATTAACCTATGAAGTGAAAGGATATCCTAAGAAAAGTTTAGCTTATAAATTAATTTTTTCAGACTGCAATAGTAAAAAAATTATAATAAAATAAATATCCGTGAACAAATAAATCGAAATCATATTAATCATATAACAAAGTCATATCAATCATGTAAAGTCTAAAAAAATATATATATATATATATATATATATATATATATATATATATATATATATAGAGTGATAATGATGAAATAAATTCAAACAAAATCCACCCAGTGTATCTACCACTGAATAAACTGAATAAAAACTCACCAGAGCAATATGCTGATCATATTATAAACCAGCATAAACTATTTTCTGCTCTGGGAGCAATGATCTGTAGACAGTTGGGACAAAGCTTTGACTTGGAAAAAACGATCTCCACTACCCCTGGCGCAATACTCTGCAGGAGACTCTGTGACTCTGTAGATCCACTTCATTCATATACCATCCTTTTCATAGGGTATTGGAATGGCCACTCAGAATATACAAAGAACAGAAGGCTCATGGTGCAGTACCTCATAAAATCGTTGCTTTATTAAAACTAAACACACTTACAAGAAACGATGTCCCAGACGACACCAGCACACTCATAACCAGATGCAAGTAAACAGACCCAGCTTCATCGCACATGCGCTGTAGCGATCACTGAGAACGCGCTGACGTCACACCACTCAAGCCCCGCCCTACGCGTTTCATCATTCGACGCCCTCACGGAGCAGATGAGTGTGAGACATCCTACCCTCATTGTATATGCACTGCATTCGAGTCGTGACAGCTATCGTGATCAAGGGTCATGTAACAAAACATGACACGCTAATGACAGATCGCTGCGCTCGACATATTATAAAGATATAGCATTCAAGAAACACATCACGGAGGCAAGGATAACATTAAATATATATAGACATATCAATGATAAAACATATGATAGCATATATTAATCCATGGGGCATAGCAATCCGCATTAGTCCAATTAAAGGGCCATGCCCCGCCAGTAAAGAAGGGCTCCACTCAAAAAAACATAATATATATATATATATATATATATATATATATATATATATATATATATAAAAAAAAAAAAATTTATGGATATAGAAATTGATTGTAATTATCATTAATATTGTTCTGGCGCCACCTATATTTAATTAGTCACTAAAGTTTGGCTTCCCTGGTTAGATTCCAAAGACACGGTTGCTCCAGAATAATGCTTTGTTTCCATACCCAGGTGCTGTACTATTACTGGCAAAGAGGTTTCTTGTGCACAATCCCCTCTGTACTCCTTTGTACTGCTATTGGTCTTGTTCTGTTTTATTCACCTCGTGATCATTCCTTGGTTCCCTTTTACATTAGCTTTGTCCCGGTGTATAGCCATGTTTGGCATGTTTCACTTGTCTGCTGGTTGCAATTGTATTGATTTGGAAGAGTTTAATAAACTTCCCTTTAAAAAAAAAAAAAAATAAAAAAAAAAAAATATCTGGCATGGAGATGCAACACAACCCTTCTCATTTCAAAGATGATTTCCCTTTCAGCAGCTATTTTACTGGAAATGTTCAGCCTGGATCTCTCTCTCTCTCTCCCCCCCCCCCCCCCCCCCCCCCCTTCTTTGTTAAGGCAGATAAGACTGTCTCCTCTTATTTGGGCTGGGAGGACACCTAGCCAAATCTGTCCTGTCCTATACCTGGATAGGGGCAGTTTATCCCTGCTGATTTTTCTGACGTACTACTGGGTGTACTTTTCATTTTACAGTGTGCTGGTGGTTCTCCCAGCCCAGTGATCCTGCAGCAGTGATTGTAGAAGCTGCGTTGCTTGGCTATGATTAAGGTTTTTTACCGAAACGCGTAAGCTGCTGTAATTTGCACACTGTACCCTTTATTAATAAAGTACTTTTATCGGAAGAATAAGAAACAAGTTGCTGGCTCTTCACCTTTCACTCTCATGCTTTGTCGGGCTCCTTTGCAGAACTCAGAAATTTACTATTTAGAAGTCCTAATTCCAATCCTGCTATTACTACTCTAACGAAAACAATTCTAGCAGTTTGGTGCCAGGCTAGGGCCAGATACGTAGCTAAGGACATTAACTCTCCACACACTCCCCTCTGGAGGAACCCTAACCTCCCTCACACACCATAACAGACCTCTACCTGTGGGCTAGACATGGGATTTAAACAGTTCAGCATATAATGCAACTGGGTTTTTTTCTTACTCTTTGATGTACTCAAGCGTACCTTTTCAGCTACCAAACTCCATGTTTTTTTGTTTCTTACAACTCCGGCATGCTGTGGGGGTTCAGTTTCCAAGGTCAATCATATGATCATCAAGCCCAGCTGAAAGTCTGCTCCTCCTAGATGACCTATTTAGGCCACTGTCTTCTTTATATTCCCAATTATAGGCTGTTACTATTTATTTATTTCAGGTACTTATATAGCGCCGTCAATTTATGCAGCGCTTTACATGTATATTGTACATTCACATAAGTCCCTAACCCTCAAGGGGTGTACAATCTAAGGTCCCTAACTTACATTCATACATGCATGGCAGGATCCAATTAACCTACCAGCATGTCTTTGGAGTGTGGGAGGAAACCAGAGTACCCGGAGGAAACCCACGAAGGCACAGGGAGAACATGCAAACTCCAGGCAGGTGGTGCCATGGTTGGGATTCGAACCAATGACCCTAGTACTGCCAGGCGGAAGTGCTAACCATTTAGCCACTGTGCTCCCCCCCTGTTACTATACCTAGAATGATTTTTTTGCATGAAAAATGGTATACCCACGTTTAGTATACTCCGAGATTGTCATTTATCTACCCCCACTTTTCCTGTGTCTGCCCAATGGATCCCTTTCCTATAACATCTTAGCACTGTTTTATATGTGTGATCCTGTGAGCTGCCTGCATTTTGTAGTTATAATACTATGATTCACCTTGGTGCCTCTGTACCTACTTGTTTATAAATCAATAAAAGATTTTTCACTGAAAAAAGAAAAGATTAGGTACATTTTAAATGCAATTCGTGTTAAGTACCAAAATTTGACCTGGTAATAGCCTTAACACCGCAATAAAACTGAGACAGGGAGAAGTACCACTAGGAGCCAATCAGAACTATTGTATGCAAATACACTTATAAGTAACATACTGACAGGAGGAGAGAACAGTCTGCTCAGCTTATCAGCATGTTGCTGCTTCTTCAGTGTCCAATCACAGGCTAGGGGTGTAGCCTAACTGCAATAGAATAACACCATGTCACTAGCCTGGCTGTGCTGCCTTGATGGCTGTGTAAATCTTAGGACTGGATAGATAGAAATATAAATTCTTTGGCAAAATAGGTTTTTCAGCTGTGCATGTCATTGTTTACTTATAGTTCAGCTCGGAGTTGTGGCACGGCCCCATTCACTTGAATTGAACATGGGGCATTATTTTTGTTTCGGTTGTGTAGCAAAGCATCATGGCTGTGGCATGTCCAGAAGCCTAAGGGGCCCGTCCAGGCGCCTAAGGGGCCCGTCCAGGCAAAGTCAAACTGTG